TGTATTGCTTTTCGTAAAAAGAGCTTTATCTCGCGACCGGTAGGAGTGTCGGTACGTTTAATGTCAGACTGCAAATTTTTATTGCCGCAAAGACGAATGGGAAAAAAATAGGAGAGGAGAGTAACTTTTTATCAGTAATGATAAAGAATTGTAACTTCGTGAAAGAGGGTCGTACGACAATTTTCTTATAGTCTCATTTTTTAAAACGTACATTCTTTACTTTATCCTGATTCCTGAGCTTGTCTTTTCCATATTTCTTTTTTTTTTGTTTTTATGTTTTTTTTTTACATGATGTAACGAGTGAGTAATTAAAACGTCTATAAGAAAATTGAAAAATGTTTTTTGTAACGAGCTTCTAAAAAATACACTGTACGATTTATTTTCACCATTTTATTGAATTTTAAATGTTAAGATCGAACGAGAAAAATTCAAGAAATTCCTGAAATTCCATCGTCTAATCCTAGTATTTAGGATGAAATGACGAGAAATAATCGAACAGGCAAAATTTTCAGGAGTCGTTGTACAAGGGAAATTTCAATCCTCGAAATCGTGGATTTAGTCGTAAAAAAGAATTTAATCAATATTTTTAGAATCGTTTGCATTTTTACAATTTCAAAACATGAATGAATTTATCGTCATAATTTGTCCCAATTTCAACAAATTTTTGTTTAGTATTAAGAGATTTCAATCTGCAATTTTTCAAATCTAGTTATGAAAAACATTTTAAAGTACGAAGGATAAAACATGAATAACACACTGCGTGACGAGCTACAAAGAAAAAAAGTAATTTCTTACTGTGAAACTTTCTTCTTTATATTCCACGAGAAATACTTTTCAAGAACATTTTAAAAATACACACAGTCAACTTCTTTTAGTTGAAACTGAAAAGTGATCGGAACTTAAAAAAAAATTCAAGGATCGCGGATTAAACTACTTTTAAAAATGTAACAGAAACACCAATCACTGTAAACTACTATTCTTTTAGAGAGAGAAAAAAAAGTAGAAGAGAATATGATGATTAACGTGACATCGTAATATTGATAAAATATACTCATATATATTTGCATCGCTTTGTTTTTAAACATTATATTAATACCTATATTGGATACATCTCTAACGACGCCGTTTCTTATTAGTTGCACAGGATGAATACTTTTCACAACATCACTCTCAACAATTTGTACTCTAGTAACATAGAATGTACATTCCCGTCATCCTTCTCAGATTTAATCTTCTTTTTCTTCTTCTTCTTCACTTTTTACATATCTCTCAATATAATAATATACACATATAATATAGTGGATATCATATTATATTACTCAATATTTTTATCGTGTCATACTTCGACAATAAACGATGGAATGAACGAGACGTGTACTGATCAACGATACGCTCAGTTAATGTAAAACGAATTTCCCTTTCGAATAAGAGTATTATTTTATCTAGTTTATAAAAATCACTATTTCTATGTTAATTTTCTTGTAGTAAAACTTCGATATTTGTTTCTTTTTTTTCTCTTTTTTCTTTTTCTTTTTTTTAACATACTAGACCGACTAATAAACTCGTTCTTCTTTCGAAAGAATTAATTACTCGATGAATGTAAAAATACGGATAGCTTTTTTTTTTAATAAAAGATATATAGCACTCGTGCAAAGAAACTGACATGATCGAAAAAAAAAAAAAAAAAAATGCGACTTCGAGTTATTGTTATAAAAATATTACGGAGACAATCGTCGACCAATTACAGAAATCTTATTCGTTGATCGTTATTTCATAAATATCTCTCTTGAACCATCGTTGTGAACAAAATGAGAAGTGCATTACCTTGAATTGCATTATTCCTTCAATTAACAAAATCAATTAACATTCAGTTCTGTTCCGAAAAACACATGTTTTCTTCACTTCGGAGCTGTGTCAGTCACTTCCTTCGGGTAAAGGGGTGCGACACATGCGACGAAGACACAAGAAAGATAAATTACTTCTCAATTACGTAGAACGCGAAAGTGAACTTATTACTCATCAATAAATTAACTCCGTCGGAATAATAAACTTTCGTCACCAGTGACAAATTTGTAGATATTATTATACTCTTATTACGAAGAGAGGACAGTTGAACATCGACGTTTAATTAATTCTCCGCAATCTTCTAAAAAACATTCCGTTAATCATTGCATTCTGTCAATGCGTCGAACGATTGGCATTTTCTTCGTATTTGTTGATATAATTCGTTTTATCGGAACACTCGCACGATAATTCACCATATTCAAATGTGGCTTCTTGTTTCAACGTTCATCTATGTATATATATTTGATGTATAAGTTTGTATGAAAGCAATTGATAAAAGATAAATCACGTCAGATATCTTTGTATATATCCGAAAAGGATGTCAAAAGTTTGTCGTGTTCTCGCAATTGATGACAAGACACCTTCAATACTGTTGTGTCTAATTCCTTGACTTGATTAAACGACACAAATATCTCCAGTTAGAGATTTACCTCTGACGATGATGGACATTTTGCCTGGTTCGCGCGATCGATCAATTAATCCGTGAACTGTACCGGGACGAGAAATTATAACATTATACAGATATGAGAATATATTAAATTTCCTAGGATACGCGTATCTATGCCCGCTGCACTTTCGTTCGATACTCTCGTTGAATTGGTCTTGCAGAATGAAAAACAAGTCTCTCTGTTTAACACGATTGGCATAAATCTAACGATAATTATTGCTGAGAATCACAACGGTGGTCTAATGGTCTTCGAGGTCTTCGGTATCTAAGATAGTTTTGAAACAAAACGGTTGAAACGGGTAACCCTGGCCGTCGTAGAATTTGCTCATAAATTCCACCCTGGAAGGAAAAGACAGAAAACGCACCTTTCTTTTAATTCATTTACAAGATAACGTGTATCTGAAAGTATTTGTGAGAAGTATTATTTACTTTGCACCGTGTTAACACCATCTATGAAACTATTATGTGTATTTACGCAAAACATTTTGAATTTGTTTCGATAATTCGTCGGAACATAAAAAAATACTCAAGTATAATATAATGTTCAAAAATGTTCTCTTGTTTAAAAAATATTGAAGATATTCATTTCAAAATTGGAAGAATTAGACGATGCTTTGTACAATAAAGTATGATATGTATTAATATATTATATGTATATGCACGTGATATATTATACAATATATAACATATGTGTATATATATATTAATATATTAACAAAAGGTACTATTAAATAAATATTAAGAATAAAAAGTGTCCTGAGACTTTTGAATGGGAATATAATACAATGAATAAAGCATAAATACTATATAGATACCGTGTGTTTTGCAATTACCAGGAAATTGTTAAAAAAAAAAGACATTATCAATTGTGTACGTACCAATGAAGCCGAAGGGTGTGAAGGAAAGCTGAGAGCCCTTCCATCATCACGAGGATGCAAATGGTGAAAAAGGCCCACGCGGCGAAAACAAAAAACAACATAACGCTTTGTAGGTAGAAGTAGTTGGTAGGATTGCCGAAACCTTTCCTTAACACCATGTTCCACAATACTTCGGAAAGTTGTCCATGGGCCAACGACAAAGCCCACAGACGTAGATAAGAGGCAGTGTGAGATATTGTTGAGAGAACGTATTCTATGGTATGAATGGCCTGATGTATCATGATTTCACCGAACGATTCGGTCTCGTGATGATCAGTAGTTTCGCTGTTGGTGGTCGGATTATTTTGTAGACCTTCGGTTTGCAATTCGATGTCTTGCGATGGAGTTCCATTACCCTGAAATGAATGGCGCAACGCAGCATGTGTAAGTCCGAGTATTTCGTACTAAAGGTTTTAATCAAGAAATTAAAGAGTATTTTTTTATTTTTTTTTTTTTTGATTTTTATTCTAGTATTTTATTATTTTTGTACTAGTAACTTTCTGAGAAGATGACTTTGGACGTATGGTTCGATACTAATTACAGTAAGCTTACATTTGCAAAATTTCCAAACTTGAAATTTACTTCGCGACTGCTGAAATAGTTCAAGCACTCACTCTCCTTCCATTCATTTTCTAAATGAATCTTTGAGAAGTTCAAAGCAAAAGCCGACTTATTCTAACGTCATACTTGCGAGATATTCTCATTAGCCTCACTTTGTTGAAACAATTTAATTGAACGTTCTTGGTTTTTAATTCGTCGATCGAGTTCCTGGTTCATTTTACTGACCGAGATTTAAACTCGCAAAGAATGTTCATTGGTCGTAATAAACACGTGTGAATTTGAATTTAATATTGTACTTTTGTGCTCACCACGATTCTTCTCTCTTGTCTTTTCTTCCTGAACAAGAAAAGAAGCGGCTTCCCGAAGAGCATTATAGGCACGCACAAAATCGCGAGTCCAAATAATACTTTCTGAAGGATAAACTGGCCCGGATACATGTACGGGTGACAATCGCCTATCGACTGCTCTTCACCCGCCAGTATCATATTAATAAACGTAATCAAAACTGACGGTGCACAGCCGGGAGTGTACCTAATATCTGGAAAATATAGAGAAATATACATTGTCGATCTCTTTGGCTGGCAAGGACCTTGATACTAAGGACATGATACACACCTTCTGAAGTAGCGTCGTACAGGACCCATTTGACAAACATCAAAACTACCAGGTAGAAAAATAACAAAATAAGGAAAAGTAATTGTGGCAAGAATTCGAGGAATAAGCTCGAGTATCTCTTGAAATTTCTACGAGAAAGTATGGAAACACAATTAATAATATGCTTCTTAACTGTTACGAAACGTATAAAAATTGATTTCTATTGATCATTTATCTTTGTTAAGTTAATGATTGATAAGCTTTCAAAGAATTCTGTCAGGACTTGATTCAAAAGTTACTTGAACGATCTCTTGTTAATTTGCTAATTCTTTTTTTAACTAACGAAAAAAAAATTATTTTTAATCGGTATAATCGATCGAATTATTTTTTAATCAATGAGTCGATAGAATTCAGACGAGATTTTCTGCGTGTACAACTCTGTGAAAAGATACACACTGTCGATGAATGCGTTCAAATTAAAAAGAAAGAAAAAAAAAAAAGGAAAAAAAATGTACAAGGAATTCACTGTAAAACGAAAAAAAGATAAAAAAAAAAATTGACGATATCGCGTGCATAGGGAACCATCGTTCCAAAAACTTACATAATGTTAACGACGCTCATGCACACGCCAAAGATCATGTGCACGACGCCGAAGATGATCGACAGCTTCATTTTGTACGAATTCAAGAATATTATTTTGTTCTCAGCTATTATCCAGCCCGGATCCATACCCATTGGATAAGGCGTTTGCACGTAATCCTTATCCGGCGTCAAGGTAATCATCTCTTTGAGTCCTATATCATCGTGTATGACTGTTTTATCGCGCGTTACGTTCCAACTAGACCCGAATATGTTTAATGGCTTTGAGAACAGGTCATTGTAGATGATGCCAGTGTAAATGGAAAACAAACCCATGAGAAGGATAATGTAACGCCCGGAGAAAAACATATTCCATATTTCGGACGACGACTTTTGCGCCAAGTACTTCTTCTCCAACACGATCATATATACAGCGAACAGGGTCATGATAAAACCTGAAAAAAGGAGAGATATCGTCACTTCGAGCATAATATTAAATAATGGAGAATGGTACAGTTAGGTACAGAGAGATTCTACAGTGAGATAAAATAAATCGAGGGCAAAGGAAGAATTTGAAGCCTCGTTTTCGAGAAAATTATTTCGAGTTTGAAAATTAATCGAATAAGGATCTTACAATTCATTGCAATGAAGGGCATGATTGTACTAACGACAATGGAAAATTGTCGATAATTTAAACTGAAGTGACTTTCGTAAGAAAAGATCACATAACGATCTCACTTTGAATGCGTGAAGTTTCTACTTTGATAATCATGAATTCGTTCGTTTTTTTTCTCTTTTTTTTCCGAGGCTGATTTTATTTATAACCGATGAGAAAGTAGAGATACTTTTTTCTTGAAAATTGTTCAAAAATTATTCTTCGTGATCTTGAAGATTGAAGTCTCCTCTTGAGAGTTGGAATTTCACATAAAATTATGAATACAGCCTTTCATTTAGAAGGCTAAACAAAATTCTCAAATCTAATTGAAAGCTTCTCTATTATATCTATTCAACTCTAATCAAGCTATCTTAGTCTATTGCTTTCGATTTATTTCCTTCACACAGAATCAGCCAATCAATCTACCTGTTGTTCCATGATTGACTGGGTGATACACTGAATGGATTCACTTTGTAAAATATTCACTTACCGTGTCCACAATCGCCAAACATGACGCTAAACAAGAAGGGGAAAGTGATAATCGTGTATGGGGCTGGATTAGCTTCACGGTACGACGCCACTCCGTAAGCGTCGATCAAATTTTGAAAACCTCTGGTGAACTTGTTCGTCCTGTTAAACGTCGGAGGATTTTCGTTTGTGTGGATAACATTGAGGAAAGACGGTATCGTGCTACCGCACAGACGCTAAACAAAGTAAAATATTAACAGAATATATTTTTATCACGAACAACGGAGAAACGAGTGTTCTCGAACGAGAGAGAAAAAGAAAAGAAATGTCACGAGACGAAGAAGGGGAATAACAGAGAATTTTATTGCATTTCCGTGTTATTGAATAAATACACTGTCAACGATTAATTAAGCAGTAGTGTGTGTATGTCTCTCTCTCTCGTAGGAAATTAATGAATTTAGATAAAGAAAAAAAAAATAAAGAATTTTATTTTTCTGTTTCTGTATGTTCATATTACTATTTGAATCTAATGAGTGTGTCTGAATTAAAAAAAAAAAATGTGGAAAGAAAATTGCTAAAAATCAAGATCGATCGAACGATATTCACGATAGTGTAGACTGTGAGAAACATGGATAATTTCAAAACAACCAACCGATCCTTCAGTAAGGCAGTTTCTGACAATGGCGAGATCCGCTACAGGTACCCAACATTCACCTATAAGGCACTTTTTCGTCACGTCCATGTTGAACAGGTTCATCGTGTGATAAATCGCCTTCATCTTTCGAACCATGATTGACCAATTCGGCAATTCCTTGGCAACGTTGTGTAACACACGTTGACGATGATCTTGCGTTTGATTTAAAACCTATGAAATGAAAATAGAGAGGATCACAACAAGTTTGACCAAATCGAATAATAAGAAATTTAACTAAATTGATATATAGATGATAATTAATTAAAATAAATTAATCTTGATCTATAGATGATAGATCTTCATATTTTTTTCTAGAAAGAGAAAATTAAAGGGACGTAAATGCATCGAATACGTATAATATATGAAACAGTGAAACATTTATTAAGATTTAAGATTTTAATATGTGTATGAAACGAATATCTATTTGAAATTATATCTTATTTTATGTCTAGGTTCTGTTTCTTTCAAGAAGAAGAGGATTTAATAAATTGTATAAAATAGTAGTATCCAAATGAAACAAATCTCTGTACCATGTTCAAATAAAACAATATTAAATATTCCGTGACGCAATTAATTTTTTTTTCAAGGTTCCTTACCAGGTTCAAATCTTCGAGCCTCGTTCGAACACCTTTGACCATTTCCTCGCGATCCGCATGATTATGCGGACACGGGTATATAGACGCGTGGAAACCAGTGCAAACCTTCTTGATACGGCTCTTCAGCTGTTCCCCTTGGAAAAACGCGACGAACACCGTTTTAAAAATCTGATTACCCTGAAACAACCCACGGAACTTGTCTACATTTAACGATGTAGGATTTATTTAAATAGAATGGGATTGAACGAAGTTGAAAATTTCTCGCATTGTTATCCAATTAGTTGTTATTATTTCCATTTTGCCAGACTTGGCTACGATAAGGCTCGCCTCTATCGCGATTTATCTTGTCGCGTTATCTGACTTTTCTCTCTCGAATTCTTCTCTCGATTTTTTTTTTTTTTTTTTTTTTTTTT